CCCCCCCCCCCCCCCCCCTTCCTTTTTTTTTTTGTGCTCTTAAAAAGACTCTGGTGATAAAATAAAAGTGTTTTACTGCCCCAGCAGTCTGACATACCATGTGGGTTTTTTTTGCAAGGCAGGATATCCTGACAATAAATTGGAAAATGCCTCTTAACTTCTGTGGGGGAAGGAGGGAATGATAGGAGGTCAAGGGTTTAAAACAAGGGCTGTTGCCAGTAATTCTTCCCAAAGGTTGTAATTTCAATGGCTTAATTTGCCTTGCTATCAAATTTCAAGAAAGAAACAGCTGATTACACAAGATGCAAAGTTGTTTGAATGAAGCTTGTATCTTTTTCTTCTTCTAAATAACTTTTACTTTTAGTTTGCTTCTGTTAATTTCACTCATTTATTTGATTTTCGGGAATTTCACTTCCTATTATTACAGCTAACTTGAGCATTAGGCGGGAGTGTATAGGTGGCCTACCAGCCCTACTCAATGTATAGCATGGTTTTCTTATACACTGAGTCCTAAGAAGCGTCAAACAACTGCATGCAGATTATAAGTGTGGTTCTCTTTTATGTCTGCTATGGGTCAGCGTTTTTTGATCCATAGTTGATGTTTATGGAATGATTTGCATGGGTTCACCCGCAATTGAACTTTAAGGTTACATGTATTTGATTACATTATCAGAAGGCAATGCACAATCCATGACCTATGCTTGAAACCGCTTGACGCCAAGTATACACAGTTGACGACAGTTGGTTCCCTGCACTTCTAATGCCCACCGAGAGCTCATCCACACGCCAATATTGTTGTAAAGAGTGTTGAACCAAACAGCTCGGTATGCATGATCACTTAGAAAAGCGTCTGCTTTGCTTTTCCTTTTGGAGGAACAGCCTGTAAAATACTCCTTGCAAGTTACTCCTTTTGGCAGGCCTGCTGCTGGGGGAAGCGATGACTTTGCTTTTGGCATGGCTACGCAAGTGTCCGTTGCATTGTAAAAGACCTTTTTAGCATGACCCACTTCTTAAGGTGCTAAATTTCCTTCAGGACCTTTTCTTTCCTTCTAAAGCAAATACCTTGGGCTTGGTCGTAAAACGCTTGCAAAGGGTTTGCTTAGATGTCAAGTGGTTTTAATGAGGGGAGACATTCAGTGCAATTTGAGCCTTATAGAGCGGTCCTGTTAGAGCAGGGGTGTGCAAACTCTTGCCCTTCAGCTGTTGTGGAACTACAAATCCCACGATGCATTTCATGATTTACATAGGCCTCAGGTATGACTCCCACAGACGGCTGCACAATGAGATTTGTAGTTTCACCACAGCTGGAGGGCCGTAGCTTGCCCACCCCCCTGTGTTAGAGGGTCTTAAAGCCCAACTGCATCACCACCTTGTTTTGTTTACTTTTTGGACAAGTTTGGCTTAACTCCTTTTTTGCAGTAAATGTTGGCTTTGCTTAACACTGTATTTGGTAGTCCCTGGAAGTAGAGTGGGAACTATACTTTGGCTACCCGGTGCATCACAGTGGTGTCCATGACAGACACCGGTTACAGTGTTGTTCCCCCTTCCTATCTGTGCTTTGCCATTCACAAAGCACAGCCTGTGAAGATGCTGCTTCTGCTGGGTGCAGCATATCTGAGTGTTGAAATAAGTGTTAAAGCACTTTTTGGTTTCAGGACTCTTTGGTGCTGGATTGTTCACCTAAAGGTATGTGAAGGCACCAGTACAAGTATTTAAAGTGACATTAAAATCAGGAGTTACAGTTTAAAAATGCATTCAAGTACTCCCATGAACAAAAAATGTAACTTATTTGTGTATCACTCGGATGTAGATCCTCAAATCATTTCTGAATTCAGGCTGACACTGTCCTTCCTTCTGGAGGGGGGCTACTTTTGGTCCCCTGTGTGTGTTTATAGTAGCCACCGCTCCAAGCTCGCTCCTGTGATGGACTAAAATCTCATGTTTAGTTTACTCATTTGTATTGAAGTTATAGTCCGTCATGGGAGCGAGCTTGTCGCGGTGGCTACTTTACAACACACACAGGGACCATGGGGAACAAAAGTAGCCACCCTCCAGAAGGAAGGACAGTGTCAGCACCAATTCAGAGATGATTTGAGCATCTACAGCCAAGTGATGCACAAATAAGATACATTTTTGTTACTAAGTAAGGTACTTGAATGCATTTTTAAGATTTTGCTTGAGTTTAATGTCACTGTAGCTTTGCTGTGCAGCCTTTTAGATGACTGGAGCACAAAGGGTAGTAGAATGACAGTGGGGATTTTTCTTCTATGGGGTTAGTGGAGAAGAAGCGGTTTGACAATATTTATTCCTCACTATGTCAACTTTAAATTAAAATCTTTTCTATTTTGAGGGTGTCCTGCAGCTATTGCATAATATTAGTGAAACTCGTGTATGTAGATAATTTAATAGCCTTCAAAGCTTATGTGGTAAACTATACAGGAGCAGAGTTGCAATTCATTGGGTGTAGTTGTAAAACTGTGGTGCATCATTTACATTTTTATTGTTTTATGCATGGTGTTTAGTTTCCTGACACGTAGTAGTGCTTCATAAAAATCGCACTTCTGGTTGAGCTGTCTGCATAGCAGTTCCTCTGGTTGAAAACTGCCCTCGTGATGTCAAATTCTCTGTGCTGCTCTTCACTACAGGGGTAGAGCACGATGCATGAGACTGGGTAGGTAAGGTAGAGCATTGCAATATATTTCATGTTCACCAAAGACTTCCCAGAGCATAATCACGTTTCTTCCACTCAGCTTGAGGTAATCAGTTCTTTTGCTGCAAAACATTTTCTGGATTTGTTGATTCTATGAGCTGGGTGGAGCTGCTTGTGTCAAGTTGCACAGATCAGATTTCACAAGCTTGTACATTTCTTAGGAGGGGAGGGAGGATGGAACTTCTGCACATAATTCTGACATGTCTGCCGAGGCTCACATTTAGACCTGATTGCACATCAAGTTAAACCTCAATTTTTTTTTTTTTTGATCCTTTTTTATTATTTTTTCCTTCCGTGAAGAAAAGTTCAGGATCTCTGTTTCATACATGCATAGCAATTCCTGGCACTGGACATATTCTAGGAAGATTTGTGAGCGGACGTAGAGCAAATTAACCTGTCAAAACTCGACCCAACTTGTACAAGAGAACAGGATTTGTATGCAGCAGGCAGTTCTAAATCATGCCTTTCGTGCTCAAGTTGAGCTGTTTTTTTTCCCCCCTTTAGCTACAATGTATAAATGAAAAATGCCATCTGTACAAATAGTATTGAACAACATTAGTTAGGTGTTGTGTAGTGCATAGCATCTCCTGCACTAATCATATAGTGTGTGTGTGTGTGTGTGTGTGTGTGTGTGTGTGTGATATATATATATATTTTTTTTTCCATAAGAGAAGTCCATTGGATAATCTTCTAATGATGTTTTTAATGTCAAATACTTTGAATGCACTGGCCAAAAAGATGTTGCACACTCTTTCATTGGACCACCTTTTAACTTTTTTTCTGTCCCGAGTTGCATTAATTTTTCACCAAGATCTTGTAGTGATGATTGCAGAGTCGGACAACCGCGTAAAGTCTTCTCCAGCACATCCCAAAGATTCTCAATAGGATTAAGGTTTGGACTCTATGGTAGCCAATCCATGTGTGACAATGATGTCTCATGCTCCCTGAACCACTCTT